AGTGTGAAATGTATCGGTATTGGTGGTACAATCCTAATGGTCTCTAATCCTGTTGATTAGGTGAGGTTTATCTGGGTTAATTGAGACTGAAGATTAGGTGTGGGGTTTATTCTACCTGTGTTAGTCTCAGGTACGACCCTTATTGTAACAATCACGACCATGATTATAACAACCAGGACCATGGTTTTAACAACCACGACCATGATTATAATAACTACGTCTTTGATTATAACAACCACGAACAATTATTATAACAACCACGACCATGATTATAACAACCAAGACCATGATTATAACAACCACGACCCGTGATTATAACAACCACGACCATGATTATAACAACCACGACCATGAATATAACAACCACGACCATGATTATAACAACCACGACCATGATTATAACAACCACGATCATGATTATGACAACCACGACCATGATTATATCAACCACGACCATGATTATAACAACCACGACTATGATTATAACAACCAGGACCATGATTATAACAACCACAACCATGATTATAATAACCACGACCATGATTATAACAACCAAGACTATGATTACAACAACCACGACCATGATTATAACAACCACGACCATGATTATAACAACCACGACTATGATTATAACAACCAGGACCATGATTATAACAACCACAACCATGATTATAACAACAACGACCATGATTACAACAACCACGACCATGATTATAACAATCACGACCATGATTATAACAACCAGGACCATGATTTTAACAACCACGACCATGATTATAATAACTACGTCATTGATTATAACAACCACGAACAATTATTGTAACAACCACGACCATGATTATAACAACCAAGACCATGATTATAACAACCACGACCCGTGATTATAACAACCACGACCATGATTATAACAACCACGACCATGATTATAACAACCACGATCATGATTATAACAATCACGACCATGATTATACCAACCACGACCATGATTATAACAACCAGGGCCATGACTATAACAACCACAACCATGATTATACCAACCTCGGTAAACTGTACAACCGGACTCGCCACCGGGCACGAAGGGCCCACGATCACGTGTTATATACTGTAATAGCCATGAAAATAAATCCTTTGTATTTACATACAAACGTCAAAGCGCCTTTTAAGAACTTTCGTGGTCTGCTACAATGTGGAAGAACTGAAAGAGGTATAACCTATTTGTTTTCCACTTATTCCCGCCAGAATACGGCAGGTTGAAGGTCGCCGCCAGTGACAAAGCGGTGCACTATACCAAAGATTCTGACACTATATAAGGGAAGCACAATCCAATGGGCGAACGCGATCATCGCAGATCCGTAGATAGAGCTTGGTCAACCGGACGCCAGGTTAATACTCAGTGGGTAGGAAGTCTTCTTGAGTTGTCTCTCACATAGTTTATAAATATTATTATTCAACTGTAAACGTGTACAACAATTATACTAAATAAACATCATTTTCATCACCATCTTCTTCATCATCATCATCATCATCATCATCATCATCTACAGAATGTGGGCAAACTTTCTCATCAGCTGAGTAACAACAGGGCGACCACATGTCACCGATTGACCTAGTTGACCGAACTCTACGGCTCTGGTTCATCACCCAAAGTAACGCCGCTAAGCAGCTGGGAGTACACAAAATATTTAATTACCAGATATGGAATAAAGGGTGGAAGACGACGAATTCGGCTAAATCAAGATTTTCTATCGTACACCTGATGTTGTTTTTTTCAATGTTGACTGTTGACTGTTCATTATGATAGTTTTTATGAGCTCTTTCTTTATTTAATGCATTTAGTACTGATAACGTTCCACTTTTCAGAATTGTTAGATAGCATCAGAGTATCATTAGAATACATAAGATCAGCAGGGTACCGTTGTATTCTCGAAAATGTAAGCTGGAATTTTGAAGTTTTGGATAATTATTCATTTAGGACCACCCATGACTTTTCCGAAGAAATTATGCTTTCCCTGTATAATTAGATGTGTTTTGAATGGATTTCAAACTCATTTCTTGGGCGAATTTATGAAATCCTTACCAACCCAACCCAACCCAAATTGTAAGGTAAAAACAGGCAATGCAAGAACCAATTCAAGCTTAACGAAACCTGAACTACACTAACCTAACCTAACTTTACCTAAGCAAACCTTACCTTTGTCTTAGCAATTTTGTGGCGTTTCATGAAAAACCAAATGGCAAAAAATTTATAGAATACATCAACAGAACTTTTATATTGATTTCTATATAAGGATGTAGAAAATAAGAAACACATTATAGCACTTTTGTCTCAAAATTTATATTTTCCAGTCACAGGTATCCCTGGCTACACGAACGAATATTCGCTTATACAAATATTCTTTTCTTACACCTCTTTCTCCCTATACAAGAGCCATGGTCCATTAAGGTAATCTACCAAATTTATATTTTCATTAATTTCTTAATGTGCTAGGTGCTAAATTATAGTAATTAGGTCTCAAGTTATTTACAGTAGTTACAGTAGCTAAGTAGGTATTTTATTGTTTATGAACTGATTTAATTGTTTAGGTATACAGTGGAGGTTATCTTGTACTTAATTACTAAATTATTGTAGTTAGTACTAATAGCCATTAGGTGTGTTTTTGTTTTGTAAATGTCTAGATCCGCCACTGGAAATTGCTTAGCCTCAACAAAGGACCCTATATGCATCTCGAACTGCATACCTGCATACCTGTATACCTCACAATTTTACTAGAAAATGCAGGCATTCCTCTCTATACGAATGGGCTAGATTTCTTGAATATTATTTGTGACTATACGTATATCAAATAAAATAACAAAGAGAAAGATAGTATTTGGTTCCCCAATGACATGAAAACCTCAATATTACACCTAGACAAAATGTAATAGGTTTACAAGCAACAAAAAACCTACCTAACTATTGTAAATTAGTACCTACCTATTGTAGTTTAGTAACTAAGTAAAAGAAAACCCATCAATGTATACCAAAAAGAACAAAATAATTTCACAAACAACAAGAAGCTAGCTAACAACTGTAAATTAGTAATTAACTATTGTAATTTAATATTTTTTTTTACGGGGATTAGCCCACCCGGGCACAGGTCACTGACCCACATCATGGCCTGGGGGGCGAAAGTGTAATAATATTAATAATAATAATAACAATAATAATAATAATAATAATAATAATAATAATAATAATAATAATAATAATAATAATAATAATAATAATATTAATATTAATAATAATAATAATAATAATAATAATAATAATAATAATAATAATAATAATAATAATAATAATAATAATAATAATAATAATAATAATAATAATAATAATAATAATAATAATAATAATAATAATAAAGAACCATAAAGAAATAAAAATGAAAAAAAAGATTAAAAGTGAGAAACAATATATGTATGTTGTGTTGTCAATAGTAAGTGAAACAATTGAGACCCTGTAATTGTGTGTAAATGATGCAGAAAGTCAGATCAACAATCTGAGACTTAGTCATAATTTTTGTGATGCCATGTGTAACAGGGTCTACCATAGACAACATTATGCTTCCAATATCTTCCCCGGCGTCAGTACCTCCCTGCTTAGTAGCTACCTAATACCTACTACTGTAATTTAGCACCTACCACATTAAGAAGTTAATGAAATATAAATCTAGTACATTGTAAAGTACAGTCTCACCCAAAAGTTCGTTAACTCTCCCAGCCAGCTATTGCTGCACTGCCTGCTTCAGATGTTTGAAACTGTCTCAGTACCAACCAAGACATGAAACTGACACAAATGAATCTAAAGGTTCGAAGTAACAGACTCAAGTTCATACATCTGAAGCAAGCGGTGCGGCAATCGCTGGCTGGAGATAACTGGCACTGAGGCAGATTATAATGAGTTTTGAATAATGAGAAAGTGGTGTAAGAATATAATATTTGTATAAGTGAATGTTTGCAGAGCGAATGTTTATGTAGTGAGGGAGACTTGTATTAGTATTATTAATATTATTACAACTTGGAATAATGTAGCCTGACTTCAAACTTTTTCACTGTTGGAGCCTAATCTTAAACCCTACAGTTTTATTTGTTTAGCAAAACATTGGTAGTTGTGTAAGATTAAAGCTGTACATTACTGTACTGAAAACAAAAAAACAAAAAAGTTGGTCATCAATAAACTTGCAAGCACAATATAAAATGTTGAAAAGTAGTGTCACTTTCTTAACTCAGCTACCAACTTGGAAATACCGTTATGTTCTCTATAATCTATATCACTACAAAAATGTTAATCTGTTAAAAAATACAATAAAGTGCACTGGTTAACTGGCTGCCATATTTTTTTTTCATTTTAAATAGTTGGGTGTTTTCGGTTTAATGTACCTTTTCCCCAAAAATAGAAATATGTTTTTAAATGTATAATTTCCTTTTGACCCCCTTCCCACATTTTTTTTGTTTAGATATTATTTTTTTAATTATATATTATTAGGTTAAGTTAGGTTGGGCTTGGCAACCTTGTATTATATTTATTGAACCAAGCAGACAAATCTACATTAAAAAACATAGTTTTATTTATATTTTTGGTGGACACGGCACATGAAATTGAAAAGACCTAACCTAACCTAACTTAATAAAAATTAAATTTATTTTTCAAGAATAATTTAAAAAAATTTACCGTATTGTATATATTTTGGGAATCAATGAAAATCTACATTCAAAATAATCAATTTGATACTGAAAAAATTATCCCTAGATATTTAAAGTTGCGAATCAATAATCTATTTACTATATGTAATTGTTTTTATGTAATTATCTGGTGGTATCGCACAATTTTATGTAAAGCGCATAAGGCATAAAGTGTTTTACTCCCCAGCCGCTTTTGGCTATGCCACCATTTCGGAGGTTAAACAATTTAACACTGGTGGCTATATTTATACTGCGTCAAAATATTTTACTATACTCACACATAGATGCCGCCGTACTTATTGTGTAAGTCGAACAGCTGATCGTGCATGCTCTTCCTTGTCAGCGGGATGTAACCAATCAGAGGAAGTCCCCAGCGTCCTGATAAAGAATTCACTTATAGAACTTTACAAATAATACAGATGCATATTGCTGGAAAATAAAGTTAAAAGATAAATTATGCGGAATCCTGAAACTTTTGAGAAAGTGTAGAATGAAGATAAATTATTATTACTAAATATTACACCAAACGTTACGAGAAGTTATTTATGATTTTAAGATTTGTCACCGCCATCTGTTTTATGACGCGTCCCTTCGAATTAAAGAGCGGAACAGACACGACACGACACTCGCTACTGATACGTTCACATGACAGGCCACACCACACAAAGCTGCAAAAACCTACAGGGGAGTATTCGTCTAGAAGCGCCCTCTGTCCCCACACCCCGCTTAGAGCGTGCTAGTGTGAAGGATAGAGGGTCAACACAGCCTGCCGAGTCACCTGGGGACCTCTGCAAAGTCTCCCCTAAGTGAGGGGTGCAGGAATTCAGGGACATCTGTTAGGGGAGATCTCCATAAATCTCCACTTAGGACTTAGTGAACATGCCCTCCGTAAAAATTTAAGTGGACCGCACCCGGCAGCAACCCTCAGACCTGGCCTCACTGATCTTCTAGCTGACCCTAATTTTTCAGATTAGATCCTTCATCGATGACAGCATAATAAAATTTTACTTCAGACTGATGAAGATGCAGATAGATTCCACTCCCCAGAAGTAAGTAAAAAACTCAAGATAATGGCTTCACGGTCCTCAGCTCGAATGAGTACCCTGCAAAATGCACCCTGATATGCCGGAAAATCATCCCTCCTATCATGGAAAACCCTAATCTCCTCGCTGAACTAATCTCACACAACAATAACCAAATAACATCGGCAACTCGGATGGGAACCCTACCCATGCTCAAAATCACCACAGCAACACAAACAGATGCCATTGCACTAAAATCACTTGGCATAAAAATTAGCAACATCATCCCCTCACGTGACTTAGAATTCCAACACTTCATCAAGGTTCACCAATGCTACAACTGTTACCAATTCAAACACAACACCAACCAGTGCAAAAACACACAAACATGCTCAAAGTGTGCCAACAAAGGCCACTCCTACCGAAAATGCACGGCCACGGAGACAAAATGCAGCAACTGTGAAGGCCCACACACTGCCATCAACACCGTCACCATGACACACCACATCAAGATGAAGTCGGCAATCGCAAACAAATCACTCGAAAATATACACAGATTCACAACCGCATCAATCAAAACTAAAACACATCTATTCAAAGCCCTCATACGCCCACTACTGACATACGCACCTAACACACTCCAGCTAGCAACACCAACAAACGCCAAGAAACTTCAAGTCATACAAACCAAAGCACTAAGATTCATCCATAACACACACTGGTCATCCTTCACCCCAAATGAACACCTACATGAACTCAGCTCCATCCCTCCACTCAACATCTACTGGAGACAACTAGGAGACAAACAAATAGAATCACTCCTCACTTCTTACCCTCAATGGCAGGAATACTTCGACAACATCATACTCCCACGCAGATTCAGAAACAGGAATCCCTCCATACTAAACAGACCAAACCCACCCTACCCACCTCCCCTATATTAGTAACAGCCAGATACAGCTACCTAATGCCCTTCCCTATACACAACACAACCACCCATTAACAAAAACCCAACAAACAACCACCCCCATATCAAAACCTTTACTCCCCGTAACCATACCCAACAACCTCAGCCGAAATCAAACCAAACACCCCTCCAAACACAACCAACCACTCCTCCCTTACCTAACCTAGCCTAACCTAACTCACCCAACTTCTGTTAAAAATAGCCCAACTCAATAACTCCTCCCTAAACAAAACTTATCACTCCACAAGTCAACTTTGCGACCCCAAAAGCCCAGCCAATTTAAAACCAACCAACCTCTATACACAACAAACCCCCAAACAAAACCTAACACACTGTACGCTCATGAAAAAAAACTTCTCCTCATCTCCGTTCTTAAATTGACAAAAAAGCTCAAATCTGTCTCCTGCTTTCACTAAAAAAAAATTCTCCTAACCATACGCTCATCCTTCATTGCTACGAATACTTTGACATTTCAAGCTCAAAGATTCAAAACTCTTCCTCCAACTCGCTCCGTTCCTCTTTGACATAGCTCAAAGACTTTACCTTCACCTTCCACCAAACAACTCTACAACTGACATACATTCCGTTTCCCCTTCCTTGTCCGTGCCTTCCCCCTACGCTTCTAGGCTTGTGCCGCCGCCTTGTTCTTCTTCCGCTTCACCGACACAGCCAGAGCACTGTTTTA